GGTCTGGGATTATGGTTTCACCCTTTTAAGATTTCTCGTTAAATCTTAGAATGAGCCATCCTCTCCCACCCACCAAGGCTAAACTAAGACTACTAAGATGAAAAAGAACACTCTAGAACAAAATCCTTCTTAGCGTAAAATCTCCATCCTCTTTAGTTTTTCTAGGATTTTTTTCCAGCACTGCCTGCTGAGCTACCCACCTCTGAATTGTCCATCGCCTCCTATCACTGTAGACACTCATTGCATTGTACACACACAATAAACAGAGGCCGGTTTGGAGGGTCTGCGTCTTTGCCCCTCCTGAGGCGCTGACCTCCCAGCCCCATCATACATTACTAAATTTGTCTCTGTTTCTTATTTTATCCTTTGCTGTACCCTTCATACAGGTAGCTGGGGATCTTGCCCAGGTCCCCAGTAGTTTCAGGTCAAGAATCAGCAGGTGAAGTTAAGTCTGCCAGTTCTGATTTTGCTTCTAGCACGTCAGCAAATGTATATCCCTGCGTTCCTAAGCGGGCCTATGTGAAGGGGCATTCCTGAGCTGAGGTCCGGCTCGCATCTGAGTTTAGCATCTTGTCCCCAAGGAGGTGCAGGGATTTGTGCTTAGGTATACCAATGGTGCCCCTGTCAAGCCCAGGGCCTGGGCGGGAAGAACCGAAGGCAAAAAGACCAATCACACACAAGTGCTCTCACAGCTTTCACCTCAGTCATGAATGCTGTGCACTGAGCACCTACTAAGGGCAGGATCCAAGTCAGATGCTGGGGGCTATGGTGGCCAAGCAGACCCCCCCCCCAAAGATGGGAGCTCTTCCTCTGATGTAGGTGGAGCAAGCATCACGGACATTCCCAGGAAACTGAGGCCAACGATCCACTGTCAGCTCTGCATAGGACTGGCCACCTAGCTTTTCTCTCTTAAGACCCAACTACCCAGTATTGTGTACTGAACAGCTCTCAAAACACTTACAGTTAGTAGACACAGAAGCTGTAAGCCAGCCTCTACCTGCCCCACCACTCATGGGATTCTGCCCCTATCTTTAAAAATTGGGAGAAACCAGGGATGGTGGTGCACACCTGCAACCCTAGCACTCTGGGAGGCTGAGACAGGAGGCCTGCATTTTCAAAGCAGTGCCAGCAATTTATCCTTGTGTTACAATTTTAAAAGGGGAAAGGCACGGGGGTACAGCTCAGTTTGAAGTTCTTGGGTTTTAAGTGCCTCCTTAAAAAATTAAAACATAAAAACTGAGAGTTACTGTGTCCTCCTTCCGATCTAAGGAGCACAGCGCACTCCTTTATGTAACCCTAGAGCACTGCTGAACTCCTGCCTGCCGGCAGTATTACTTTACAACAAGAACTTTTCCTTGCCGAAGACTTTAAATCCATCCATCCCTAGAGGCGAATACAGAAAAATGAGGACACCGAGGTCTTTTCCCCCCTGTAAAGGGATCCATCAGATGGACAGGTGTTCAGAGCCCTCCGCCTTGTCCTTGGCATCTTCCCAGAGCTTTTTGTTGCTCGGCACGTTTGCATTCCCTAACCCTTTCTCTCTAATACCGCGCATTACTCATAGTTTGAAAATCACTTTGACTCCTGCGAGGACGGCGGGCGCGTAGCTGTGTGAATGTCAGATGAGTCACCGGGGGCCTGGTGCTGCAGCGCGGCCTCCTCCCGAGCCCGGTGCGCCTGGGCTTCCAAAAGGGGCCACTGCGGCAGAGAAAGCCCCTTGGGGTGCGGGACGGACATGCACGCCCGGCCTGCGGTAGAGCCGGGCTTCCAGGGAGCGGCTGGTTTCGCTTTCAGTGCAGCTTGAAAGGGGGAGTGGAAGTCAAATCGCTAAGCGCGGGGTCACTCTGTTTAGGGGAAGCATCAGCAGCAGTTGGGCGGTTTTCTTTGAAAAACTGCCCCCCACCCCGGACAGTGGAGCCCCCTGTCTGACCACTGTCCCACGGAGATCTGTTATTCCCAAGGCTGCCCTCCAGGTCCTGTGGATGCCAAGCCTCGGAGAGGAACAGAGCCCTGGACCTGGCATGGCCCCTCCGCCGGGCTCAGGGTGCTCTGTCCACCTCCTTGGCTTTTTCGTGCTGTCAGCCACCTTCCTGCACTGTGTCAGCACCAGTTAGAAGCTGGGCTGGGGGCTGGGTGTTTCTCAGCCTAGCTGGCCATGATCCCACCTCAGCCAGTCTGTCTCAATCCCTGCATTCCTAGTCAACTCAAGGTGAGCATCCCGGAAGAGGCACCTAGCCATGTCCGGTCCACCATAGCCCACCTTTTATAACCAGGAAACTGAGGCTCAGAGCGAGCGGCTCTGTCCAGGGCTGCTCTGACAAGATAGGCACACATATCTTTACAGAGGAGGTGAACGTTCAAAATCTACAGAGGGACAATGACCTGGCCAAGGTCACACAGCTGGTCCACCAGCTGCCCAACAGGCCCTCCTGTCTCCCCGCTCCAGGGTCCGTCCTTCTGACCTCTCGACTTTCCACTTTGGACTTCTCCAGCCCTGCTGCTGGAAGCGTCAGTGTCTCAGGCCCACCTACATCAGCGACGCTGTCTATCTTACACTCTCCACACAGGCTGTCCATCCCTGTGCACTGGGACTCCCGGTGAGGAGAAACAGCAGCAGGAGAGGCCCCGGAAGGAAGGGGTTAACCAATCTTGCAATTCCCTGTGACCAACATGGTCACCAACAGTGGACTACAGCGCTGGCTAGTGCTGTCCTCAAACCACCACTTCCTCCAGGATGGGGTGCTCTGGCTTGCTGGTCGGCACCTCCTGCCCGGACTCCAGTGGAGGGGCAGCTGGAGAGTCTACTTCAGCATTCTAGCTCCAGGTCTCTTGTGTCCCCGCCTGGGGACCCCTCTGTGGCTGCCACAGAGACGTCTTGGAGCTGGAGCACCAAACTTCTCACTTGCCCACCTGTCTTGTGGGTGACACCTCCCCTATCCTGACTGCAGGGCGACATTTCCCCAGCCAGAGGGGTCTTGACTGAACACTTTCCCCTGTGGGCTCTCAAAACATAGAAAAGCCAAGACTCACATTTTGGGGTGATGTGGTGGCACTCCTTCTCAAAGTGTGGATCATCCACAGGGAGGAGGATTTTTCCTCTTGTCAGGTCTTACCCTCTGTCTATCCAATTTATCCTAAGGCAAGGCCAGTCAACAAGAGCTGACCCCACCCATGCCCCCCAAAGCAACCAACAGCTGTGACTATATTGAGTGGTAATATGATGTCACACCATAGGTGACTAACTCCCCCAGGCTTCTCTGCGAGCCATCACCTAAATATGACGGCCTTCCCTCATCCTGACCTATTCCTGGGACAGCCAGAGTGGGGGCTTGACACTGACTCCAGGGATCGAGTGGCTGTCTTAGCTTCTGGGGACACACAGCTATCCCCCAGGGGCAGATCCCCTTGCTAGGAAAAGGAACACTGTCATCTAGACAGCTTCCCCCACTGGCCCGACTGGGAAGTCAGGGGCCGTCAGCACATGTGGCCGGGGTGTTTAGAGGGGCTGGGGTCCGTATCACTACCACGTATGGGTGGGCACTGTGTTCCACTCTCTATGTACAGGTTTGCATTTAGTTTTCAAGATGCCCCAGGAGATCATTACAATCCCAGTGGAGTTAGAGAAGCTGAGATCAGAAGGGATGAGTAACTTTCCCAAGGTTACGGAGCGGCTGATGGACCAGCTCGGATTTCAGCCCAAGTCTGTGTGACTCTATACACAGGTTTTGCCATGGCCCTTGTGTGTGTGTGTGTGTTTAATAGACTTTATTTTGGAGAGTAGCTTTAGAGTCACAACAAAATAAAGCAGCACATACAGACTCCTCAAATACCCTTGTGCTATACCTGCATAGCCTCCCTTCTCCCCCACACCGGAAAATCCCCTCTGCTCTGCTAACCCCACCCCCAGTTCCTGGTAACTCTGATCTGTGTTCTGTCTCTGAGTTTTGCCTCTTTCCAGAACGTCACATAGCTGCTTGGCTGCTTCCAGGAGCCGAGTAAAGGTTTCAGGTTCCTAGATACCTTTCCGTGGATGGACAGCTTGGTTCTGCTTAGCACTGAGCAATCATCCACTGTCCATAATGGTGGATGTGCCACAATTTCTGATCCATTCACCTGCTGAGTCACCTGACTTTTCCCACCTCATTCTGGTGTGATGATTACTGAGAACACAAATGGCCAAGGGTCTGGTCCTCTCCCTCTGGGCCCCATGCCTATTCCTCTCTCCTGCTAGTCCATACTGCCTGTGGGGTACCTCCTCTGGGCCTGTCCCCCGGGATGGTGCTCCAGGGCTACACACGGTGCTGAAGAAGCTGGAGGAACCCTTGTCTATCCACACTGATGTTCCTGCGTTTGTCCTGCAGGCAGCAGCGCAGCCGTCCTCAATACACTGATGTGGTTTCTCCCCAGTTTTCACATGGGGTTCTCTTTTTAATTCTGTCCATCTGCCTTCCACCTAGAATTCACTGAGCAATGCCACTGGCTGGGCGAAGACTGTATGTTGGTCCCAATGTGATGCTATTAGGGTGGGAGGTGGAGCCGCCAGGAAGGTGATTAGATCTTCAGGATGGGGCCCCAGAATGGATTAGTGCCCTTATAACACTGGGAAGAGTCAGAAGAGCTGTCTCTCTACATGGCCACACACCTAGGAAAGGCCACCTGAAGACACAGCAGGACAGTGGGTCCAGAGCTGCCCCTCACGAGATTCTGAGTCTCCCAATGGGACCTTGGTTTGGACTCCAGAATATAAGGTATCGATGTCCATTGTCTGCTCCAGTCTTCTTGCCCTCACGGTCCAGGCTAAAACAAGTTCCTTCCATACACTGGTAGGGCCTTCGAGGACAAATCTGTCTATGCCAGTGTTTGTGCAGGGATGTACTAGTCCCACCACTTCATTCATAAACACTGCCGGGAGGGAAGGGGACATGTGTACCGAGCGATAAGCATAAAGCTACAGACTGAAAATAGGAAGCCCACAAGGCCCTGTGAATGAATACTGGCCGTCAAGTCATAATTGTGTTTATCGTGCATACCATATTATAATTATCAGGTTATTATAATAAATGCTCACACTGCACTTTCTGGGTTTTAGGACCTTAGCACTTTTACATAAATGGTAAAAGCTACTTGTTGCCTGAAAGGGCTGTACAGGCTGAAATATAAATAGATTAAAGTAAGTTTCAAATAAATTCCTGGAGGGCAGATCGGTAAGGAGTTATTAAAGTGGAGTTAGGCGTAATTGGGGCACATTCCTAACCCATGACAGTGATGTCGTGAGGGTGAGTCCCATAATCCAGCCTGAGCCATCTTCTTGGCTCCATTTGGGCAGGGGCTGACCCTGAGCCCCAGCCCAGAAGCAGTCAGAGGACTGGGCTCCATGAGGGGTCCTCCTGCCAGCCTCACTCACCTGCCACCTGTCTCGGGAAGGGGGGTCCCCCAAAGTAACAGTCTGCTTTGTGTCAGCTCTGAGTCATGGGCACAGCTGGGAGCAGACCCAGATTCCTGCTCTTTTGCTTGCTGCAACTATCTGCCGGTCACAATCCTTCCACATTAGTGGCTGTCACATTTATGGCTTTAGTGACATTTAATGGAGCTTCAGAGATGGAGAAGTACTGGGGAGATAAACAATCAAAGGCTGCAATGACACACCAGAGCTTTATCACCGAAGGGTTAGAAATGGCCATGCATCTCTGTGTCACTCCAGCGGGGACTGACTCCTTTGTTGGAGGAGGACAAGCCTTCACCTGTCTGGAAACCACAAAGGGGAGAGGAGAGAAGACAACAGCAGCCAGCAGCACTTGGAAATCATGTTCTCTGTGGCTTCAGCCCCATCTTTGCTTCATGCCGTCCCCCTTGTGTACAATGGCGCTTGCCTGTAACCCTCAAGAGGCTGAGGCAGCAGGACTGCATTTGAGGTCACCCTGGTCAACACAGTAAGACTCTGTCTCAAAATCAAAATAAAAAGGGCAGCAGTGGAACACATGCCTAGCGTGTGCCAGGCCCTGGACTTAATCCCCAGTACGGCAGAATTTAGGAACTGCCAGTTAGAAATACAGCAGAGTTGTCCCGGTTGGCTGGAGGTAGCATTGTGTCTAGGCATCCTGTCTACGTGCCTGCCCCCGACACAGGGAAGAAGGACCACCCTTGCAGAGGGGTATATGCAAGGTGGGAGCTACCACTCCCAAACCTGGCAGCCCCAGAAGGCTCAGTCCATCCACACGGGGTGCAGGAGCACAGGACAGAAAGGACACAGGTGGTGCGGTGGTGGCTTGAGCCTGAGGAGCGGGCAGGAGCTGGTTCCAAACGTCCCCAAAGGTAAGCTGGACGAGCAAGATGCTCCTGCTACCCCGGACATGGTGATATTCAGCTGAAGATCAGTAACTAACGTCGGTCAGAGCCTGCAACCATCTGCCCACCTCGCTTGGTTTCCAGGACAATCTCCACCATTCTGTTCAAAACTTTGAGAAGTTGTTGTTGACTCCACTTCTTTCTCGGCACGCTGTTCCCATGGGGATTTTCTGTTGTCATACTGTTGAACGTGGATCGTGGAGGAGAAAGAAGGTGTTTCTTCTGCACTTGGACAGCTGCGGCCACTGGCAGGAAGGAAACCTGGAGTCCAGGGTGGAGTTGGCAGGGCCGAGGAGGACGAGCTGGCCTTCACATCCCAATAGTGGGATTCTGGAGTCCGGTTGACCTGCGCGCGCCCTGCAGCTCGCCGTGCATTAGCAGCTATGCCAAGACAAAAGGACTTTTTCCTTTTGTGCACTGAGATTGAGGCTGTGCTATCAACCCTGACGGAGTCTTGTTCTCATGGAGGCTTCTGCATGCATCGATAGCACAGGAGGGGCGTTTGGAGATGTTCACGATTGGTTGCAGATCTCATGACTACGGCAATGGTGATAAATGCACCTCGCTGGCCCAGAAGCGATGGATGTCGTAAACATCGAAACCACACAATTTTTCCACCTGCGCAGATACAAGCACGTGCTGAGAGGCTGACGCTAAGAAGCAAGGGATCACAGCCTGGCAAACTCTTCCCAGTGGGTCGGGATCACTGGGCAGCCGGTGTAGTGGTTAATCCCGGAGGGCTTCCAAGAGGCGGCTCAGGAACTTCAGGGAGCCTTCGAAGTAGGCTGTGGCTGTGTTATCCTCACCACCCCAACAGCCAACACTGTCCCGTACACAGGCTGTAAGGCCGGGGTCTGAACGCAGAGGGTGAGAGCGGCCCTCTCTCCCCTGACCTTCTCCTCCTCAATCCCAGGCCTGGTCCCTTTAAGGCATCGAAACTCCATGAACATTCTACGCTCAACTTCCCCGCGGCGCGCTGACGTCACCCTTCGGTGAAACACTGACGTCAGCGCGCTCTCCGCGAAGGGGCGGGGCCGGTGACTCACCGCCGCCGCGCCCTGGCCCCGCCCCCGGCCGCGCGTGCCCGGGAGCGCGTGCCACGCTCGCGGCTGTGTTTCGCTCCACCAGAGCCGTGCGAGGGGAAGGCGGTTGGGGGGCGCGAGGGTCCTAGGCCTTCGCTGCCCGGCCGCCGGTTCTGGAAAGTTCTTCAATGAACGGGCGCGTCCCTCGTGACCTTGGGCGGAGAGGTCGCCGCGGGCCCCTCTGGGGTCAGGCCGAGCGCGGCGACCTGAAGGTCACCAGGTACCGGGCCGCGCGGATGCCCCCAGCCCGAGCCGAGCCCCGCGCGACTGGCGACCGTGCAGGAGCCAGGGGAGGCTTCATCTTGCAGAGCTGAGTGCCTGGCACTTGGCGACCTCGGCCTCCGGACTGCGCCTCTGGCGACGCCGAGGCACCGCGGAGTGGACCGCGAGGTGACCGCGTGTCGCTGGGACCCACATCCTCGGTTTGGGGCGCTGTCCCCGCAGGTGGCCCGTAAAAACCGTGTCTAGAGAGCTTCCGACCTCTCAGATGGTGTTGGAAAACGCGAGATGATACAATGAGAAACCCGGCAGTGAACCAGGAGCCCGGCAACGTTGCCTAGCAACCCGTGGTTAACATTTCCTGTTTCAAGTTTGTAAAAGCTGTGACCATAACAACTTGCAGGTTCCTTTTCCGGAAGGGGAATATGGTGGCAGTGCTTTGTGGGGCGTAGGTAGCCTTGGTGATGATGACAAAAATGAATGACAGAAGTCCCTAAGCAAAATTTCCATTTGCGTTCTAAAAATAGCTCCTTTGGCCTTTGGAAATGAGACATTTTTCAGGGGCACGTGAAACCCAGGGCCTCTAGAACTTTGTTTTTCAGTCAGTATTTAAAAATCTGGGAACTACAATCTCACGCTGGTATTTGCAACAAATACACGCGGTAGTGTGCATCCCGGTTTATGTGATTCGCGGACCGATAGCTGTCTCTCCATCCTAATTTTGTAAGAATGCAAGCCCGTTTTCTTCAACATAGTGCCTAAATTAAGCAGGTGCGAACAAAGAGGAATTATGCTCTCACACTGACCTGATTTCCCTTTGTGTGGGATATTTTGTGTGTATGAAACATAAAAGAACTGTAATGTAAAATTTTTTGTGTTCAGAAATTTAAGTTTTGAGCAGAAACTTAAGTTTTTGCTTTAAAAATCCTTAACCTTGGAATGAGCCAGCTGGATCCTTCAAGCGGACAGCAGCTCTGCCGAGCCTTCCTTGCCCCCAAGTGGGCCTGTTTTCTTGGAACACAGTTCTGTTTGTTATTCAGTCATAGGTCACAGTGTTGGGATTGTTTGCTTGTTGTGTTTGTGTTCTTTATATCTCTGACATCTAGAATGGGCCTACCGGATAATGACTACTCCCCCCCCCCCCAGTTTTGTTTTATTGAGTAAATGTGATTCTGGAACCAGATTATAAGTTTTGGAAAGAAAGGGGTTTTTTACTAGTTAAGAAAGATTGTGCTGCAGACTTGATTTACAGAAGACACCCCCACATTCCCCAGTACCCCCCCCACCATCAACAAACCATCAATAAGAAAGAACAAAGGAAAATAAAACCAACAAGTACACTCTAAATTATTTTGTGTAGGGACAAAATACTATTGTTGTAGGGACAATAAAATGTAACTCTCAATCTGTTGGATGTCTGATATGCTGAGTTTGTGTTTCCCATAATCGAAGAATGAATTTTAAGGAATAACAGGTGAAGAAGAAAATTTTATTAAGACAGCAGGGGCACAGAAAATGGGTTATTACAGACCCCACTTTATAACAAGTTTTATAGAGCAAAATCATGAAATGGGAGCAAAATCACAAGGTGGTTGGAACAGTACAAGGTAGGTACAATGCAGGACAAAACTACGGTCAACCAGTAAGATTACAAGTTTAGTCATGAAGGCAATACTGATCCAGTCAGGAAGCAGTTCACATAGCAAGTGTACCTGGAAAGAACCAGGGCCTTTGAGGAAGAGATGCATCAGGAAGTTTTGGCCACCCACTGGGTGACTCATTAATTGACTGTTTCTCTCTTGGGGAGGCATATAGGCCTGGTCATTTTGTCTCTATCTTGAGACCTGCCCTCCAGCTCATGCACCTCCCATCACAGTTGTAATGTGTTTTTATCTTCCTATTGACTCCCTTGAGGGCCTAACCCTGTCTGATTGCCTATGATGTTTCTTCCCTGGCTTAGCTGACTGAAGAGGTGCCCCTGACTGCTGTGAGTGGGCAGTGGGTGATGACTGTTTTAGTTGCTTTTGGCCAAACAGGGTCATAGTTGTAATCAGCAGTCAGATGTTCTACAGAGGGTCTATCTAATATGTCAGGCTTTCTTGTCTTGGGTAGGCGTATAGCTTTACATCTGGAGGAGACAAAGCCAAAGACACAGGTAAGTATGCATGGGCCAAAGAATAAGATCAACAAGACTGTTTTGAATACAACCAACAAATGATTCCGCCAGGAAAAGCCAGTGATAGCCTCCTACAGAGAGAGTAAGGAGAAAGTGCAGGGAATTTTAGAATGTGACATGGAGTTAACCTGTTGTTTAATATCGTGAACTGTCATTGAGATGATAGAATGATCATTAACATTAACTTTTATAATTGCACAAGTTCTCGTGCTACTGTTAGAATGTCTAATATCATCTGATTTTCGAGGACATCTTGTCTCATTAATATTTTTTCATTTAGAAGAGAAATCACTTGAAGTGTCAGTGCAGGCCCATTGAATATAATTATCCAAGTCCTCAATATTGTGTAACATCTTCTAATCTCAGGGAAGGGACAAAGAAGCCAAATGATCTGCCAGCAAAACATACTTTTAGACCCCCATTGTCAGAGACAGGGTAAGTTTACATGTTGATACTTTTGATATTCCTGCCTTGTCCTTAGTGTGTATCTTTCTATCTCAGGGGTATCCAGGGCCACAAGTTGGTTCCACAGGACCAGTGATTGTTATCTGGGGCTCTTCGTCTGATTTTAGGATGATTAAACCAGTCTGCTGTAAGCCAGTCTTTGACCTGTATAATTATGGTGTGTATATACTGCTTTTGGAGGGAATTCATTTCAAATCAGGTCGATGAGAATAAGAGTGATATTTTGTTTTTAACATGAGACCTTTTTACTAAGTTGTCTCAGAGTTGGAGTTAACCACATATAATCATCTCATACCTGAAAATCACCATCTTTATATCTATGATTGATAACAGTTAGGACCCTTACTGTCACTTCATAGGAGTTTTACGAGGCTGTGGTGACATTTTTAGAAAAAACATTGATTATGCCCAGGATCATTAAGGGCATATTTTATAGGCTACTCAGTCAACCTCTGAACTCTTTGGTGTCTCATCACTGTAGTGCTGTGGCTTAATCGTCTCTTTGAAGTGGGGACACCTCTCAAGGAAGTCCAAAGCACTTGACCAGGGGAGTGGGCCCCACATCCAGCGCAAATGTTTGTGTAACGACTCCACATTTCTGTGCAACATTTCTTGTACCCTCTTTTAAGTGGTAATTAGTAAGAGGCCTAAGAGTAATATCTCAGACTATTTGCCTGAGGTTTTTCTTTTTAAAAAAGAGTTGTAATTGTCCTGTGGCTTCACAGGGATATTTGGATGCTTGTTTACGTTTGGCATCGGTCTCTGGTTCCCAGGGTTTGAGCCGGTGTTGTGTATCCAGGAGTCCACCTGCCACCTTGCCAGATGATGGAGTCGTCAGGTGTGGCCCCGCATTGGTCCTGGGGAAGGGGGGTGATGAGGGAGGAGACTTTACCAGTACTGGGTCTCCGGGTGACATATGCGATATCCCTTCTCTTTAGGCTCTGTTAGCTGTGGAAGAGTGGGTGGGAATGTGAGGTGACTTTTAGTGAGAGCCTCTCTTTCTCTAGTGAACAGAAAATCATTAGTGAGAAAAGGGCATCTATAAAACACTTTAAAGGGACTGGAGCCTAGAATTTGAGGTGTGTTTTTACTTGGCTGAAGAGCTAATGATAGTCGGTGAGGCCACTGTAGATGGGTTTTAAGCCATTTGGTGAAGAGGTCTCTAGGCTGTCACTTATTTTCCTTTTCCAATGATTGTGGCCTTTGTGCACAGGGAAGGTGACAGAGGATGCCCAGGACCTGAGAGACACCCTGCATAGGTGTTGTTATAAAGAAGGCCCATTATCACCAGCAGCTCTTAGGAAACCCAGTTCTGGGAATGATTCTTAAGACCAAAACTTTTATCACTTCTTGTGTTTCGTTTGTTCTACAAGGAAATGCTCGATCAGCTTGTGAAAACATCTGCCTAGACTGGTATTGGGGCCTCTTACTCTTTGGCATATGAATACAGTTGAGTGGCCAGTCTCTTCCCTGATGGCAGGTCCTTCACTGAAAATGGGATGAGAAAGGCAGGGTATACAGCAGTGACCCTACATCAGACACTTCAGAGTTCCTCCCCTGCCTCTGAGACTGGTTCCTAGCCAGCAAAACTCAAAGCTCTGACCAATCAAGAGGATTGGGGTTTTTTTTTTTTTTAATGGTAGCGCTCACATGGTGTTGTGCTGTCTGAGAAAATCTCTTTTTTATGAATAACTTTGAGGCCATCTGGTGGGTCTTGCCTCTCTCCAAGTGAAAGATCTGATGTAAAGATTTAATAATTCCCCATTTACTGGCACCAGCAAGGAACAAGATACCATCATCTGATTATAACCATCCTAATAGAAGGAACCAACACCCTGGAAGAGACCTCATTTGATTTTTGACTGGGAATATTTGGATAGAGTATGTCAAGGAACCCCTCCCCGATCAGAAGGGCCTGAACGCTGGAGGACTGAGGAGATTTTTTTTTTTTTTTTTTTTTTTTGTAGCTGCATCAGCCAGTTGATTATCTTGAGATACCTTGTCAGCTTTTTTGTTTTTGTGTGTCCTCTGTAGGGAATTATCGCTACTTTGGAGGGTACATAGCTGGATGATGAAACTTTTATCTATCTCATTGTGGTACTTTATGGGAGATCCATTGGCTGTCAGGTCATTCCTTTTATGTGGCTGTGTAAGCAGGTAACACTAGGAAAGCATACTTTGAATCAGTATAAATATTGACTTTTTGTTTTTTACTGAATTATAAAGCCCTGCTCAGAGCTGTGAGTTTTGTTGGCTAGAAATTAGTTTCAGAAAAGGGCATTTTCAGTGAAGGACGGCCATCAGGGAAGAGGATCAGGGCAGGGCCAGTAGAGGTGGGTCTAACAAGTCTTCTGGCTGTG